GCTGCTGGCTTCCTCTCTTTCTTGCAGATGAATGCGCTTTATAACCTCCATTTAGTCAAGTAAATGCAGAAAGCTGTGCGTTTTCACTTTTGAAATCTGGGCGTGCTGCTGCTGCCTGCTGCGCTGCTGCTGCTGCTGCTGCTGCTGCTGCTGTTTGCTGCTGCTTCCTTCAGGGTGCTTTCTTCCAAGACCTGGCGCGCAGCGGAGAAGAGCCTTTATACCTGCGGGACTTCAACGCCCCTGTCGGGTACGTGTCCCCAGTTGCTTCCCCCAGCAGCAGCAGCAGCAGCAGCAGCAGCAGCAGCTGCTGCTGCTGCTGCTGCTGCTGCGTCCAGACGCAGAGGACGCAGCGGGAGCCCACCTTGCTGCTGCTGCTGCTGCTGCTGCTGCTGCTGCTGCTGCTGCTGCTGCTGCAGGGAGGACAAAGTGGACAAGAAGGCGCTGCCGAAGATCCTGCAGCTGCGGCGCGGCGAACTCGCCCGCGGAGGCCGCAGCAAACACACCCACTTGGTGGATGTGGACACTTCGGACTTGTCGCATCCTTGGGCGCAGGCCACTCGCGACTTGCAGGGGCAGAAGCTCCTCAAGAAGGCCGCGGGTCCGTGCTGCTGCTGCTGCTGCTGCTGCTGCTGCAATGCTGCTGCTGCAATGCTGCTGCTGCAATGCTGCTGCTGCTGCAATGCTGCTGCTGCTGCAATGCTGCTGCTGCAATGCTGCTGCTGCTGCTGCTGCTGCTGCTGCGCTGCTGCTGCTGCTGCTGCTGCTGCTGCGCTGCTGTTGCTGCGCTGTTCAAGTTCAAGTTCTCGGGGGCGCGGAAAGCGGGGGGAAACTGCGGACTTTGGCGGAATAAAAGGTTTTTTGAATTAAAATAATTAATTTTATTTCTTTTATTTCAATTTGGAAACGAAAAGCTGGAGCTTTCCGCGCGCTTTCCGGGCTGTTCAGGAATCAAAGGCGCCAACGACTTCGACCGGCCTTCGCTGCGGAAGCCGAAGCAAGACAGTTAAGTTCCATTTTCTTTTTTTTCTTTTTTATTCTTTTTTATTCTTTTATTTTCTTTTATTTTCTTTTATTTTCTTTTATTTTCTTTTATTTCCCTTTTTCTTTTCTTCGTGGACTTCGCAGTTCCCAGCTGCTGCAGACAGAAGCAGCGGGGAGGCGCAGCAGCAGCAGCAGCAGCAGCAGCACTGCTGCCGTTGCTGCAGCAGCAGGGGGCTTCTTGCAAGCTTTGTTGATAGAATATTAATTTATTTATTTAATGGGAATTTATTTAGCAAAGTTGGATTTGGAAATTCGAAAATAAAAGTGGGTTTGGCCTTCGCCGTTCAGGTGTATGCGCAGCTGCAGCAGCAGCAGCAGCACTCCCGCGCTGCAAAGCTCTTCACTTTATTTCTTTTGTATTTCTTTCAACTCCTTCTTTGCTTCAGTTTTTCCGAAAACTTTCCAAGTTTTTGCTGCTGCTGCTGCTGCAGAAAGCAGAAGGAGCCGCTAAGCAGCCCCGATGCATGCAGCGTGTCTTGGTACACTTGCTGCTGCTGCTGCTGCTGCTGCTCCTGTTGCTGCTGCTGCTGCTGCTGCTGCTGCTGCTGCTGCTGCTGCTGCTGCTGCTTAGCTAATCTTTGAATGTGAGGGACTGATGCACACACACACACACACACACACACACACACACACACACACACACACATAGACATAGACTATATATATATTATATACATATAATATATATATATATATGTATATTATATATATATATATATATATATATGTATATTATATATATATTTATATATTTATATATTTATAAGATATATAAATAATATATTCATTTAAAAGCCCTCGAGCCAGGCTTGAGTTGAGTGCAGCTGCAGATTGCATGCAATTTTGTCTTCTGGAGTTTTGTCTTCAACAAATTTTCGCTTTTTTGTTTTATTTGAATTCAATAAAAGCATTTTGTTCAAATCCCAGCAGCTGCGGCTGCAGCAGGAAGGGCCCAGAGAGCTTTGGATAAGTGCGAAGCAGCAGAAGCTGTTTGTAGAAGTTGAATTTATTTTGAAGTCTGCTGCTGCAGTTTGGCGAAGCTGCTGCAGCTGCTGCAGCTGTTGAGGCCTTTGCTGCATGCTTTTGCTGCTGCTGCAGCAGCTAATTGGCCTTTAGTCCTTAGTTTGACTTTGTGGAAAGGGGAGTTAATTGGTCTTGGGCAAATTGCGGAAATAGGCAAGTCGAGCGCAAACAAATCCCAAGTTCGAGACGGATCTTCTATTTTGTTTTGCGTGTAGCGTTTTAAAAACTTGAATTTATTATTTTAATTGAGAAAAGAATTAAAAAAAATAATTCAATTAGCGCAAGAGCTGCCAAGTTGAAAGAGCCGCGGCGCGGAAGACCTGCACAGCAAGACATCGGGTCACCGCCCCACGGCTGAAGTTGCGTCATTTGGCTTTCTTTTAACAGCAAATAAACTGCAAATAATCTTTTTTTCAAATCTGAAGTTTGCAATTTGCAAAAAGGTTTCGCGTGCCGCGAGCAAGTCTGCGGTGTATGCGCAGACACCCGAGTTTCGCCCAATGCCACGCCTCGACTGCGCGCCTCCCCGCCGCATGTTCATTTCTGTCATTTCAGCTGATCTGCGCAGCAGCTTTGGACTTTGTGCAGAATAAAACAATTGGGGTCTTCTTTTCTTCAGTTTCACTCCTTTCAGGGCCGGCCGTCGCGTTTGCTGCGGCGGCGGTCTGCTGCTGGCGACCGGCAGCGCGGAAGCCCAGATCCTCCGGCTGCCGGGCTCCCGCGCGAGTTCCCGGGTCATGAACTCCGTTTTATTTCCACTTTTGCTTTTAAAAGTCCCTTCCGACTGGCCATAGCCGCAGAAACTCCCCGCAAAGTCCGCAGCAGCAGCAGCAGCAGCAGCAGCAGCAGCCCCTCCGCGCCCGCCGAGCCTCCTTCGGTGTGCAGCTCGGCTTCCCGGCCGCACGCGGGCAAAACCCGCTTTGCTGCTGCAGCAGCAGCGCCGCAGCAGCAGCAGCAGCGCCCCCTCGCCCGCAGGCGCTCCCAAAGCAGCAGCAGAAGCCGCAGCAGCAGCAGCAACCGAAGCACAAGCAGCAGCCGCACAGCAGCAGCAGCAGCAGCAGCAGCAGCATGGCGGAGTCTCTGGCCGGGGCCTTCGGGCCCCTGCCTTACCCGGAGTTTTCGAACATGTTGTTTGTTTGTTTTCCAGTTTTTGTTTTGGTGGTTTGTCTCCAAGTAGTTCGGGGCGACTCTGGAGGCCCTGGCTACTTGAGTTTGTTTGCTGCTGCTGCTGCTGCTTTGCTGCGCTGCGCCGGCGAAGAGGCGGCGCTGCTGCTGCAGGGGGGCCCCCTGGGGGCCCCCAGGGCCCTCCTGGGGGCCCCCGCGCTGCTGCTGCTGCTGTCGCCGCTGCTGAGCTTTTGTGGCTTCCGGCTGCTGCCGCTGCTGCTGCGCCGCAGCGCCGTTGCTGCTGCTGAGGTCTGCGTGTCTCCTGCTGCTGCCTTTGCCCCCGTGGCCCTCGTCCGCAGCAGCAGCAGCTCGTCGTCGTCCGCAGCAGCAGCAGCAGCAGCGGACTGGCTTGCTGCAGCCTGGCAGCAGCTCGACCTCCGCAGGCTGCTGCTGCATGCATTCTACTGCAGCAGCAGCAGCGCAGTCGTTTGGCTTGTTGCTGCGCCCCTCGTGCTCTATGCTGCGGGGCTGCTGCTGCAGCAGGCGCAGCAGCAGCAGCAGCAGCAGGCCGGCGCTGCTGCTGCGGGGCCCAGGGGCTTTGCTGCTCGCTTCCTGCTGCAGCACCTGCTGCTGCTGCCGCTCCTCGCCTCGCTGCTGCTGCTGCTGCTGCTGCACTTCCTCCACTTCGACCAAGTCTGCATCTTCGGCTTCATGCCGCTCCTCTTGGCCCTCAACTTCGTCGTCTTCGCCGCAGACCCAGTGAGACGCTGCTGCTGCTGCTGCTGCTGCTGCTGCTGCTGCTGCTGCTGCTGCTGCTGCTGCTGCTGCTGCTGCTGCTGCTGCTGCT